GCAAGTTTCCTTTTTTCTTTTTCACGTGCTTTTGTTAGTTGTTCTGCTCTAACTCATTTTTGGTGCTTTGTTTTGATGTAGCCCTTCCCGGAACCGGACACAACGCAAATGTATTTCTAAATAGCTTCCTCATACTTAAAAAATTTACAAAAAAAATAAAAATACAGTTATACCTTTGCTTATACAATTTGAAAAGTACGAATAGCATTTAGTTGGATTAGTAGCTCCATGTATACAGTAGCAGGTACATCCAGCTGGCTTAGAGCTTTCTTTCTAAAGGGCAAATGATACAACGTCAAATAGAATTTCGGAATACGTGAGCGATAGAAGGATAGCGTCACACTGTATAAAATAAAAGAGCTACTGTACGTGCAAACAAATAAATCATCCTTTTACTTTAATAGAAAGAAAGAGACCATTGTTCATGCAGTGTGGCACGTAAAAATAAGCTTAGATAAGGCAAGGTTGGCTGTAACATTTAGGGGGCTTACATAGCCTTTTGGGTGGCCAAAACGTAAATCCATGAGACGGTCTTGGAATATGATTTTTGAGAGTGATAGCTGCAATGGGTGGGTAGTCATGGTTGGAATCGCTTCGAACGTCCTTTGCCGATTTCTGTTTTCCTTAAATGGATAGTTTTAACGTTGAGTGTGATAAACCGTTGGCCTGTGCGTATACAGCACGCATACCGAAGGTTTAAGATAGTCCAAGTCAGGGGAGGTCGAAGATTATAATAAACTGTTAGCTTCCGAAATATAAATGAGCAATCCCATAACCGACTACTACGTCATGATAATGGTGTAAATTCACCGTACTTGAAACAAGCGGTCCTGGACAACTGTATTAGGGACGAGGTCTCATAACATGTAATTAACTACAGGAGTAATTCGGCTGAGCACAAGATATATACGTAAGTATCACTGTTTGTTTCTATGCCATGTTTATCATCAAGGTTAAAGATATCATTTCTACACATATATAACAACACATTACATCTTGTGTCATCAGTTTATCAGTATTACTGTGGCGTATGGTCAGGATTCCATCCACCCGAAGACGGTGGGTAAGATGGCAGTTGTTGATGTTGCTGGTGCTGTTGTTGGCTCTGCAAGATCTACGCCAACTGGCTTAATGCAGCAGCAGGATCTGTGATGGCTGCCTGTTGTTGTGGTTATTGCTGAGGGTCAACACCAGCGGTAGATGAAAGTGGACCTGGTGGTGGTGGTGGTTGTTATGACATGGTCGCAGGCGGGATAGGCTGCACTTGCTGCGTTGGAGGTGGTACTGGCTGTTGATAGTGCTGTTGTTGCTGTTGTTGCTGTTGTGCTGCCATTTGAGTCTAGAAAAATTACACACACATACGTGAATATATGACGTAGAAAAACACTGAATGAACGTGGTTTTTCTTCCTTTTAAGGCTAAATAGTTTTTTGTACGCCTGCCAACGAGAAGTGTATATATTTGATCCAAGAAGGCAATCATGGCTACTCTGAGCTCTATCAAGAGACGTAAGAATTCCCAGTATAGCAACTGATTTTCTTTCCGCACGTTTCTCGATGGGTTGTTCTGATATGTCACATTAAAATATGGCGTGCTATAGACTGGATCCTGAGAACTAAAAGCAAGGCGACCACAAGGAGTAAGTATATATAGCTGGGAGTGGCTATTCGCTGCAGCATGGTGACTAAAGATCAAACAGAGGTTTCAACTTTGGTAAGGCCCACGCTCCAACTCCTTCCCCCCACAGTTTTTTTGGAATTTCAAGTCAGCCACCAGAGACACTATACTACGCACTAAGTGGCTGTGTAGTATAACAACAGCCTGGTTTACAGCACGATACTACAGGCTTATCTTCGCTCCAATCAGTGAAAAAATTTACTGTATATTGATGTGGATTGACTTTAAATATCACAAGCTATTGGCTAAAGTTTATTATTGTCAGCAAGATGATGAATGGACTATTATGAGAGAAATACCGGTTGGATTTATCAGCATGGACACTGCAAGGGAATGATGCTAACCGTCCAGGGATGGAAGGTTCCATGAAAAAAAAAACCATTTTTCTACATAATGCAGGTAGAGAAGTTGAGATAATATAACAGAAAAGGCTACAGTACATAGCGTGTCATTTTATATAGTGTGCGTGCGGACATAGCAGTAGTAATTTCATAGTTATTTATCAATCGGATTTTGGTTCGGTTACATGATTAACCGTTCGGAGAAAGTAATTTCCGAAATCCGTTTCCGTGATTTTTTTGAAACGGCTAGGTAGGCGATGTTTTTGTTCATTTTGCAGTTATTCAAGCTCTACATTACCGACAGAAGTAACTGCACGGTACGTAGTATCTTTATAAAACTGAAGCTCAGAATAGAAAACTAGCAGAGTCTTTTTGCTGAATACATAAATCCTAGTTTATATACACCGTTTCAGTATGATTACCTGATGAAATTTCAGTATGCTTTCTATACAAAACAATATATGTATTAGACTGTATACAGTAAGCTGTTGCTAGGTAAAATAAGAAATCGGGAATACGACGACGGAAGCCGAGGGAATTACTAGTTTTTCGATGCTGTGGAGATATGTATAAAATTGATCGGATACAAAATACGATATGTCTAGATAGACCTCTTCATATCATATAGCAGCTATTGTGTATGTAAGAGCAAATACAATTGGATGCGTAAAGATTAAAGTGACATATATCAATTAACAGAAGAAACATACTGTAACTACCAAGATCAGGGTATAAATATACCTTTCATGCCGAAAGCATGAAAAGCATCATTTAGCAAAGAGTTCCACGGTTGTAAGTTACTGTCTGACGACGCATGGCGAGCACAATACGACATAGTTAAAAACACTAAATAATGATGCTATACTTATGATCGTACAGCAGCGGCATTGACTTACTATAAAAAAGCCAACTCAAATAGTACTTCTTGGTGCCATCATGCAGCAGACTTACGGCGCCGGTTAAGCTTTTATTGCTATTTATTCTAACTATACAATATGATAGATGTAAAGTAAGTACTTTTTACTCTGCTGTTTGTTAAGAAATAGTATGCACATGTTCATCGTGTTTTATTTACATGACGTTATGTTAGCTATTATACAAAGGAGCCACACAAACGCATTAACGAAGAAAGTTATTCTCACTCCGCTTTCCCACTTGAAATAATCGATTTAATTACTCGCCTATGGCAAGTCCATAAAATACTTGACCTAAAAAAAAGGAGAAGACGAAGAAGTCTTTTACGTGGGCGGAGTATGGGGGAGAGTAAAAGAAAGAACAATCTCGGACGAATGAATATGGTGGAAGACGAGGCAAAATGGAAAGGCGCCTTCCTTAAATTTTGCAGCAATAAATAATATAGTATGAATAATGGCATGTACGCAGCATACAATGAATGCGCATTATGGTAGTGCTGGTAGTTGATATTGATAACTAATAGCATGGTAAAAAAAAACATAGATGCTCAAAGCAAGCAAAAGTCACATCTACTGCTCTTCTCCTTCCTTTATCATACATGCGTACAAACATTTTCTACACTACCATCTTCTTTCTCTTTCTCTCTTAGTCCGCACCCCCTTTTTTTCTTTTCTCTTTCTTTCTTCTGCCTCCAGAGTACAGTTCATACACAAAACAGTTCGTGATGACCATGAAAAAGCTTTTTGTACGGATTCAAGACCGATTCTCCTCGCCCACTACATCGTCGCCCTTTCCCTCAGAAAACGTGCTACACACCTCCACAACACCACCCGAAAAACGCGAACATGACAAGACACCACGGTGGCGCAACCGTTTCTCCTTTTCCAGTGTGTCGGTGAAGCGTCACAATAGGAGAAGAAGCCATAATCCTTTCTTTGAATCAGCATCGACTCCGTGCTTTGACCAACAGATACATCTACAGCAGCAGCAGCAGCAGTGCCGCCCACGTTCCACGATCACAAATGCAGCATCCACCAGTGTAATACCAGCATCGAAGACTAGATCGGAAACAGGAAAGGAAGACGACAATGACGACGATATTTTACAGCCTCCACCGCGTCCTTTCTCATGTTCTGCTGCAGTTGGAGAAATGGATATGAGCGTGCCTGGAATCCTTAAAATACTACGCACCAGTATCGACATGGACGATGAAGACAACGACGGCGAGACTTCTTTTAGCAGCTGCCGTGATAATTCTGGGGCAAACACTCCAAACACGACGCCTGATCTAGGATCGTCTCCTTATTATACTAACAGTATTACCAAAACGATAACCGGTTCACCATCAAAGGGCAATATAAATGGGACCAGTAGTCAAGCTTGGGACAATCGTCCAAAAGCAAAGTTAGCAAAAAACTTGGATGAAACACATTTAGCAGGCGTTGATGATGTTGTGCTACGCGTAAATACATGGAAGTCTGCAGTTCCAAAAACCAAGAGCGACGCCAGACAGAAACAGGAGAAAGAGCACGTGGCAGCAAATGATGAATATAACCGGCTTAATAGCAACGACTGTCTTGAGGGCACGATCAACATAAGAGGAGCAACAAAAGGTACGGAGCCACACGAGAGTACTCCTTTTCGGCAGCTACAACACTCGAAAAATCAGCAGAAAGCAGAAGACACTGAGCGGTGGCAAAAAAAGCAGCAGCAGCAGCAGCAGCAGCAGCAATGGGACTATGAGCGGAAAAACCTCATGCACCCGAGTACTGCTATTGCCAACAGCGAGCCGCAGTATTATTATGATTCCAATTGCAGCCAAAATGCACAGTTATGCAACAGTAACTACAGCCCACAGCATGCTAGCCGGGTAAACGCGATGGCCGATTCTGCTTCTTCTACTGCTGCTAAGAATTCCGATCAATGCACCGCTTCTCCTACTACCGTTATTAGAAGCAATGAAAAGATCGACATCGCATCGGAGCTTCAGGGAACAAAGGGTACGAGTAAGCATATATAATTATTTACAGTAAACAAAACACGACGATAATGACTCACAGCCTATCACTTTCTTTTGTCCCCAAAAACAGGTAGCGACGGCGACAACAACAATAGCAGCGGTAGCTATAATAGTAGCATTGATAATACTAAGCATAACAATGACAATGCGGCTGCTATTATTGTTACTACCCAGGTGGATAAGGTGATAATTGAAATGACCCTCACCCAAAGATTGAATGACGCCCTGAACGCAAATTCGATGCTCAAAGCACAGATAAGGAAGTTTGAGAGCGACGCGAAATTGGCCATGGGGACCGCACCGAGCGCACAGAGCCGGGAAGTTGCGAGAGCTGCATCAAGAAGAGGAGCGACTGCTGGACAACAACAGGACGAACTGCTTCGAGCACATGCACTCGCGCAACTGGGGCTGATTGAGTACCTTGAAGGCGAAGACGATCTGGGAGCCGCACTGGAACGTTTCAAAAAGCAGCTGGAAGCAGAACTTTCGGACAACAGCTGCAGCAGCAGCAACAACAACAACAACAACAACAACAATGGCAGCACCAATGATCACACTTGATTAGGTGGGCGGGCGACTACTGTATTCGCGATTACGTTCGTCAACAACCGCCTTTGATTAGCTGATGATACTATTTTTTGTTCCTCGTCGGCTGGCAACACAATGGCGATTTCGCATCAACATTTTTGTCGCGCGGCTTAATCTATGCCGGAAAAGTCCAAGCCGAGGTCCTTTTTCTTTCAGTTCCTTCTCCCCTCTTTTAACGTTCCCTCCGATTTGTTTTGTACACATTGACGAAGTTTTATTAGCGCTTTTGCACACACAAATAGTAGCTGAACTAATCTGATTGTGATTGCGTGTAAATAATAAAAGATACCATTAGGCAGCTCTACTAGCACTTTGTAGTCGCCTGCCTGCATTCTTTTTGACATCCGCGGAACGGAATATATCGCGCTATGTACGATCAGCCCTGGTCTTCCTTCCCTCGCCAGTCAATTCCTCTCTACATACGCTTGTCTGCAATTATGTTCTCACGAAGAAATTAGATAAATATAAAGGTCCATCGAAGCGCGTTCAGGCAATCGGTCCTGAATTACACGGCACAAAAAGAAGGTTTGACACGCTGTAAGTTGTACTAACTGCACTATATCCGTTGCTGTGGCTATTTCTTGCCCCCGATATCTGATAACGCTATGCAGTTCGCGACCACTCAACAGCGGTACTAAATGAGGTGATTGAGGGATGACCCCCGCTTTTCATACGTTGCCAAGGTTCTGGATTGAAAAATCAACCTTGGCTTTTCTCGGATGGTGATTGATATGTTGTATAATCAAAAAAGAGAGAGGTGGGGCGATCCTCTCGGGACTACTATAATAGTAAACTGTCGGCCCTTATCTGTCGGAATCTTCCGAGTGATAAAGAAATATAGACAGGCGCCCTTTCAGGCTCCCCCTGTCATTTCACTCTTCGGTTACGATCCAAGAAAGACACGTTGCTGGATAAGACGCGTAGTTTCGTTTTATCTGATTTTCAATATGCAAAAGACGACGCCGAACAAATAAAAAAAGAGGGGTGCCTAAATCATGAGAGGATTGCCGTTTGTTTATCTGGATGACTCGTCTGATTTGCAATTTTTGCCGTTCGAAAAAGAAAGTCTGTAAATACGAAGCCCCCCTTTTCCTCTCCGCCAAGAAAGCTTATCGTCAAAAGAAACAGGACCGGCCGGGCAAGTGAGCAGCTGTTGGAAAGAGGGAATGGAAAGATGTCTGGACATGCCAAGAGCGAAGGAGAACGCGGTTAAAGAAGTGTTGCAGCAGTACGACCCGTGAAGCAGAACACGCTGCAGTATCATTAGGAGCCCTTTTGTTGGCCGGAAAAGGCATTCAAAATACACCACATAAATAACAGGGTTTTCTACTTGTGCTCCGATAAGCTTGTCAAGAAATGGCCATTATCTGACACTGCGTAGGACAGCACACAATACACGTTGTTGCTGCTGCTGCTGTTTTTGTTTTTGTTGTTTTGTTTAGCTTCTAGTTCTGGTGCTGAAATGATGATGATGATAGGAATTGTATGAAAACATGGGTCAAACGATAAGCTTCGTACCACAAAAGGGCACGCTTGCTTGCTTGCTTTGCTTGCTTGCTTGTCAGAACTCTCGACCAAACTCACTATATATAGCCACCTTCTTCTTTCCGCGTTTCTTTCTTTTTCTCTGTGTTCTTCACTTCTTGTGCATCCATACAATCAACAACACACGCATCCTTGCATAATACATCGTACATAGGTCACATCGTCCATCATACACTTTCCTGACAAATCACAACAGCAGCAAGAACTAAAAAATGTGCCACCACGTCAAGACCACCAAGCATTGGCACTGTACCTCATCCCTCAAGAATCAAAAGTCCTCGGGCAACTGCGCTGTATGCGGCTCACGCCTCCACATGACAAGTAAGTTCCTTTCTCAATCCTTCCCCCCCCTCTCTCTCTCTCTCTCGTGTTCTCAAGGTTGCTTGGATTACTGACATGCGCGATCAGAACATTGTCCGGTGCATCCGTGATCTTGATCACCCGATCTACACCTGAACAACAACAACAGCGACAACGACACTCGCCGATTTATATACCCCTACTGCAAAACTCTCTCTATTACTACATTAGTCTTCTTCTTTACATATCTTCATCATTTTATCATCACATCATCTTCATCTTCATCCAACATATACTACTCTCATTCTCTCCCTAGCTCTTAGACTGCCGCGCCGCTCGCTAGTACATCCATCCTGATCAATTAGCAACCTCTTCTTGCGGATGTATATGCTTTTATTTTTATTATTTCCATTGTCTTTCTTTCTTTTCTTGTATAGAACAAAAAGCACGCTCTCTTCTCTTTTCTTCATTATGGTCGAGGAATTATTATTGCTGCTGCTACTACTTTAACTACTCTACTTTTTTCCCTTCCATTCATGCGTAATCCAACTCCCTGCCCCTTGTTACTTTTTTATTGCTTGTATGAAATGTCCATTTTTTTCTTTTGTAAATTTACCATCAAGTATTCCCTGCTTTTTGGAAGTTTTGATACTCCGTATATAATAAACGAACCAACAGCTCATCTACAGCAAAACACGTTCATTGTTTATCACGATATCCAGTTCAAAAATTTTGGGGGTGCTTCCTTTCTACTTCCAAGTATCGATCGGCACACCTGCTCAGAAATAATTTTGATAGCAGAAAGAGAGAGAGAGAGAGAGAGATAAACAGCTTGCACAGGGATTGATCATCCCGTCGGCAAACATTACTGCAGGTAAGGATATCGGACAGGGCCTAATCGGTAAACGCATTACTTAGCGTTTGCTGCATGTGGCTGAACAGAGAGAACTGTGTGTGCAACAATGAATGACAGCGGAGCTTCATGGCTCCTTTCCCAGTCCAGGATCCTCATTGTACACAAAGACCATCATGTTGATAAGCGTCCTAGTTATTATTACCAGGGTTATCTCCATGGCAGCATGTGACCACGAACAACGGACACAGCATAGCGACCCTGTAACCATGGAGCATGCAGCTGTCTCCAGGCAGCAACCTTATGTTCATTATGCTCTTGCCAAAGCCGGATGTGTCCAAATCAGATAAAGCGACCCCAGCTCTCCGATTACCACCAGAGGGATTGGGTATAGTCCGCTGTTGCATGTTGTGTCATGCAAGACAACAACAATTGTTCACAGCCATCACATACGTGCCGGATGACGTATATTCCGAATTATGTTTGCTAACATGATGAAAATGACCAATTTTTATTATACGATTGCGCATTAAATTAATAGGGCACATAACAAACAACAGCAACAAATTTAGACTTTAGCCACTAGTCCCCTAGAACCAGCTCGCACGTGGGATGTATGATAATATTATTTATCCCAAATATCGATTGGCTCTGAAACGTTGTTCGTTCGCGTTTCATTATCAAAAGTAATACGCTATATAGAGACCATCCGTGTTCTTAAAATTTTTCGAAAATTTCTTTTGTTGGCAAACCCATTTCGGTGTGCTACAACAACAGAGGAGCATGGTGTGTGTATGTACTCCTGCACCACATTCTTACTTAGTTACGACCAACAAAAACAGCCTATCGTATATTCGATCTCTTGTTCAACCTTGTTAGATAGCGCACAGTTACACCTTCCGTTTAGGACGGGTAATGAGCGCATGAAAGGTGCGACCCACATTGGATCGCTGCAATCCATGTTCACTCTTTCTTGTTGAAAGATAACTAAAAGCGGTGGCTTGGTAACGTAAAGTGTCAGGGATCGCACCCACATGGTTCTTCGGAGAATTTCTATGTGTATCTTCCATGTTTAGGGGTACGACGATGATATAAGCAGTCTTAAGGCAAAAGAATCAACAGCGGTAAAAAAAAACATTCAATCCGATGACTTTCTATGATACTGTTTTCGCTAGCCACTAATGATTTTAACGTGTTCAGAAATAAAGATTTATTTGCACAATTTAGACTTATGCTTGTGCCAGCAGCCACTAAGTAGTAATTGTTTTTTTTACATTCGGTCTTTATTGTTTCTTTTAATTTCATACATAGTGTAAATTCGCACTCACGAGGGCAAACTGACAGTTGACAATGCGAATAATTTGTCTTCTCTCACTCTTGTTGTGAGCTATCAGCGCTACATCTTCTAGTTATAGCACGGATAAAGTCAAATGGATCGCTGTTGTTCGAACATCAAGGCGAAAGTATACTCAATACCACAGCTGGCGGTAAATGGATCGCATTCTGCCTGGGTAGCCTGTAGAGTCATGGAAACCAATCATTTTCTACATGAGAATATATATCTTCAGGTTTCAAGAGATACGATATTGAGACAAAGCCAAAAGGAAAAAGAGCATATGCAGCACTCGATGACTTATTACTCATATTGTTTATGGAATATTACGTTTTAAGACCATATGAGGTGAGACAAAAGGGACATGATGTAAACGAAACTATACTCAGCGCGCAATGTTTTCGATGCCGAGCGTTCTATGCTCCCGCCCCACCCGAAAAAGATCGGTATGATAGCATGTATCAATTCGTGTGTATCCAGTGCAGCAGGAGCAGTATTTCAAAGGTCCAAAAAGATAAGAGTCAGAAACGCGAGGCCAACTAGAAACAAGCAGTTCCTGGTTGCAAAAAAGGTTATTTTTATTATTGCTATTAATATAGCATGCCAAATATAGGTGTGGTGAGGCCCAACTCCTTCTCGATCATATAGATGGTGTGTTCCCCAATACCAGTACAACCTTGTACAGCTAATTTTTTCAAACCGGTGGCTTTTCGAGTAGAGATTAGCTGCTCCACCCCTCGATCCGTTACAGAACTGCACCTGCTTATGTCCAGTTGCTGGATGCGTTCCATATTATTACCTATTGCTTCCATCACTTGGTCTGTCACTGCATGCAAACCATAGAGTCCCAATCTTTCAATGTGGTCCGCCTTTTCAATAAATTGTGTAATGCCCAGCGTCGTCAGCATCGGACAGTCGCCCACGATCACCGTCCGCAGTGTTCGAATGCTTCCCAGTAGCGTGAGAACATGATCCGTTACAAACCTTGAGTGAGCAAAGTTGACAGCTTCTAGTGCACCATTTGAAGAGCATGACTGAGCGAATTGTAGAGCACCCTCTATTGCATCAGACGATCCTTCGTGTATTTTCAATCGTTTTAGTTGCTTGAGTTGGCCAAGTGCGTCCATGATCTGGGTAGTAACTGGGTAGTGTAACGTCACATCTTCGAGCAACGGACAACTAAGAAGCATGTTGCTTAGATGGTCGGCTGGACCACGATGACTAAGATCCAGTGTGGTTAATCGTCGTGTGCCGAGTTCTGCAATGGTCGACCAATATCGGTTCAACTGTGCGTCGGAATGGATGGATAAGTATTCGAGAGTGTCATGATGGCGCTGGATGAGGGGTATGATGTCGTCGTCTTTCAACGCTTCCACTTGATCAATGTATATAGAGCGTAGCCCATCGTTGCCTTTACCATATTTCCTGGTACTGCTGTTGCTGCTCAGTGACGCAGCAAACGATGGCTTTATCTGGTCGAGGCTGCCAATGGTTTCTGTGTCAGTGCAAGAGAAGTGTTGCAACGTCGGACATAGCTCGTCCAATCGCCGCAGAATGGGCGTGTCGCCGAATTCCGAGGATTCGATTGTCAACGATCGCAAGTTTGGACAGCGAGGCAAGAACTTATCCAAGGGCAGAACCATTTCCGTTGACCAGAGCAGTTCGGTCAGACAAGGAAGTGTTGCATTGTCTGGTGGCGACCAATCCGGAGGCGGGGATCCACTATCATACTCCATTTCGCAGATAAGCCGTTTTAGCCGCTTGCACACAGGAAAGAGTCGGTCCATGATAACGTCGGCTGGAAAATATGCATTCCGAAACTCGAGGTTGACAAGACTCGGTCCTGTCAGATCCATTAATCCGGAAAACGAGCTTTGTTGTTCTGCCGGCGAAATATCCACCGTATCCCACGCATAAAATGAACCGATCACTGTAGTTTTATCAATGACAAATGTGATGAAAGGTCGGTGCTATCAGAAGTTGCGTATCAAACAACAAGAAAGAGCAACGAATGATACGAACCTAATGACTGGATGCGGTTGTGTCCCCTTTGCTCTAATGCATCAAATGCCTTTTTCATCTGCACTGAGTTGCCAAAGAAACGTAGCTGTCTGATCTTGTGACCTGTTTCAAACTGTGGGATCCACTGTAGCCAACCATCCGACGCGCCCTCCTCAAGGCAAATGTCAATTTCTCGCCACATGCCTTGCCAAGATGAAAGATAAGCACTCCAGGCCTTGCAAATGGCCATACATCTGTGCCGCTCTTTAAATGACAATCGTGATAAAATGTCGCTCACCACGTCGGCCGGCAAGCAATTGATAAAGTCGTGTTTATTTTGACTATGGTCGTTTTGAACTGGTGGCTCGGTCGTGTTGTCCCGCGAGCCGATCGCGACATTGTCTGAATTGTCGTGCCCATTCCCAGAAGAACTGGTACTAGGCGAAGGTGCCCTCATAGTCTGCTGATCATGTAGAGCGTTGGAGTATGCCGGTCGCTTTGCTTCACGTATATCTTCTGGTGGTTCAAGCTGCTTCCGTTTATTCATGTTGATGGTAGCCGGCCGTGGGAAAAATAGGGTTCAGGACAAAGGGAGAGAAAGAAAAAAGGTGGTGGCGGGAATCGAGTTAACGTTTCGTCTCCTTTCTTGCATCGGACCTTTGTACTTTATAATTTTCCCGGACCTTTGTGCAGTACATGTATCCAATTTCCACATGGTTCCATGCATGTATGCAATTGGATTTTATATTATATACGTATGTACAAGCTAAGCTATCTACAGGATAATCACATCGTGGTAATGGTCGCCACTGGTTGTGCCGTCGTTGCTATTGTTGCTTTGTTTGGCTTCTCCTCTATTCATATCGTCATCGTCATGCCGATGACGCTCAATGGGTTGTTGTTGCGAGGCAACCGGATCTGCGGTGGCTTCCTTGAGGGCATCATCGACAGCAGAAATGAGTTCTTCGGTATACAGCAGCACTGTCGAGGATGCCTTGTGCAGCTTTTCCTTTAGCAGTTTGAGTCGCTCAATATCCCTGGTCTCCTTTGCAAGTTCAATAAGCAGCATCGTGCATTGATGAACATACTCGAAGAATTTTCCAGGTCTAACATTACGGTCGTAGTCCATTCATCAGTTTCAAAAACATATATAAAAAGTACTGTCTATGCATAGTAAATAGGTACTCACCTTTCGTAGTTGGTTTTCCACATGCTAGTGAATGATTTGGAGTTGGATCGAAGCGAGAAAAGTTCAAGTATCTCATTTTTCGCATTCTCTGTTTGATTGTAAACATGATAAAGAATCCAAGCACTCTACAAAAGCGTTGATGACATGGTAAGACATGCATTGCAGCAACGATGCATAAAGGAAACACAAGTATTACCCGGTATATCGGTCGATGATGCCATTTATGTTTGTCGACTCGGCGTATAGCGGCAAGCTTACTGAGAATGATGTCATACGGATCCTTTTGTGTCTGCTGTGTCGAAGTAGCACCAATAGGTGGATTGCTAAGAGTAGGTACGATCCTTCTATCGCCTTCAGTTACTGCCATTGCACTGCTTTCACCCGACTGATGTTGCTGCCCCTGATCCGTGTTGTTATCCTCTTGTGTTGCTGTCTTTTCGGCGATCTGTGTTTCAAGGTAGATCCCAACATCGTTTGGCTAAGAAACAGAGATTATGTTAATAAACACAGTAGATTAGCTGGCTTAGCACATCCAGGTGACAAACATTTTACCTGAACCTCTCTTCTGTAAAGATATTTGGCTAATGCAGAGTAAAGCTTGTATACTGGCTCAAAAATCCTATCGCTTCCAGTTTGCGGGGGTAATTTTACCACGGCTTCTAGAAACCATTGCAGCACCTCCTTAGCTGGCCTGCCAAGCTTTTTGCAACAGCTTCCGATCATCTGATAGCATCTAATGTGTCAGAAGTAATTATGTCAGCCATCGACTATTTTCTTTTTGGATTCAACAATAGATAGACATAGAAATACCCACCTCCACTTTTCAGAGGACTTGAACCGAAGTGCATGGTGGAACATTTTGAGAGCCATCTTATATGCATTTTTTGGATCCGACGGACTTTGTGAAACGTTAACAAATTGTTTATCGGCCGTCATTATGCGTCGTGTCACTTTCGTTTCCAATGAAGCACCCTTCATCGGTGGGCACACCATTCCGTACAACAAGAAGCCAAACCTGCTATACAAATCAAACATCGAAGCGCTATTTAATTCTTGGCTCGAGCCGTTGGAAGCAATTAGATGAAGCGCTCTGCGGAATGCATGGAATGCTTTCTATTTATCGAATATGATTTGAGTCATCGATGTAAATTGGACATAATTTCAGTGTGACAACTCACCTTTTGATACGTAGCAATTAGATCACGGTGTGTTTTGACGTTTATGGCACTCCAGATCAATTCCTCATCAGCCAAACCTGCATAGCAGTGGCCCAGTTCAGCCCAGCCGCTCACATCGTGTGGATCTAGGATAATATGGTTCTATCGAGCGTCAAATTTGATTAGTATTAATAGTTTGATTATCTTAAAAAAGTTCGATAGAAAAGTGCACAAAATGATTTCGGTGTTCGCACTTACTGTGAACAGTTCAATTGCATTTTCCAGGTCTTCCGCTGTCTTTTCGGCGTTAAACTTGGAGCGATTTTTGATCTGTAAGCGTATCGTCCGGCCACCAATCCAGAAAATTTTAAAGTACACGGCTATCACAAAGCGAAAATAAATTAATCTTCAGGCAAACGTGTAGTCTGAATTTCAAAAGCTGGTTAGCACTTACGAGAGATTTTTGAGCGCTTTGGGTCGATCGGTACTGCAGACAAAGGCGAGTGTCGCAACGTATCGTCAACCGACGGTCCAATCTTCACGTCTTGTGAGAGATAGCTTTCAATCACCTTCTTGTTCAACCGGACATTATCTATATTTGTAGATTAGCAGCAGCTATCACAAATTTACCTCTTTCTTTTCAGCCACTGGAAAGCAAAAAGAAAGAAAGCAAGCTTACTGTCGTCTGTAGGCAATGATTCAAACAGATCAGATACCATGTCGACTACATTTTTTGAATCACTTTTCAGTTGTGCACCGCGACCAAGTCTTTCAACAACAGAGTCGGCGACAATTGCAAAGAGGGGCTCAGCTGCCTTTTGTGAGAGTGCTTCATGTGCCACATTGTGCTCCTCGATTATATCTGATTCGCCCTGTAGATGATATTAGAGACATATTTATAAGCAGTGGATTTGAACAATCGTAGCAGTTAGTCTGGTTACAGTGATACGTACAGCGAGAGCAACACCATAGAGGCAGTGGTAGCATTGATATATGCCCATTTTGTATTTTGTATCGTTTGATGGCAATTTTAGCAGATGTTTTAAAAATGCGCCTATTTTTCAAAATGAGTATACCTCTTGCCAGAAAATGCATCGAATAGAATGTACTCTTCTTTGTCATTTTTACCTTTGGCTACACCGCAGATTTGACGTTCCCCCAGTTCGTCGTGAAGAGTCATCAAAGTGTCCGTTAAAGTATGTTTGACTTCAAGGTTTGAAGCATTGCCGTCGTCTGGAATGCAGCTTTGTATAATAGTGGATGCCAGCACCCATGTGTTTATGACAATAGAGTTGAATCGTGCAGAGCGAGTGGTGTTAGAAGGCGAGTGGTTTTCAGAGGTTGGGGTCGTGAAATTGTTGACGAGGGGTATAAAATCTGCATGCCGGAAAACATATTGTACGGTCATTTGTAGAACGACCAACACAGCATCCAAAGTGCTTGTATCGACGGCCTCGAGACAATCTGTTTACATTTCGGGAATGTGTTGATTATAATTATCGTACCACAATGCATCTCTTTTATTCTTACCCAGCGACTTGTCTAGCGATAAGTTCACGATTTCTTGCAAGCACATATCGATCTAGCAAAAGAGCCAGTAAATCAGTGTTTATGCCAAATAACAGCATTCAATCATGTAACAGCTAATGCTCACCTTTTTCAAATGCTTGAAAAACACAGTATCAGAGTCCTTTGAAGCAAACTGACCATCCTTGGCTTGCGAAACACCATATTGGATCAGGTCGTAGACAAGATAATATAAAATACGGATGTGGCATCTCCATGCTTTTGCAAATTCTCCAACTTTTGTATATGACTACGTCAACGAGAAGAACCAAGGTCAGCATTAGAGATGTTACAATGTCACCCTCATTGATACTAACTTTTGCGAGTAAAGCCAGCATTTCACCCAGCTCATGCGATCGATTCTGTGAGCCTTCCAACTTCTTTTCTACGGCAGCTGACAGTTGCGTAATGATAGCATTGTATTCCTTCTTCTCATATCTGGCCTTTGCCGAGAGCATATCTTTGCCTAACTCTAGAGATTCCAGCTTCTTCCTGATCGTACCTAAGCTCAACACTCCGTCGTAGCGACTAAAATACCATTAACTAACAGCTCTTCGTATCATTTCTTCATTTCTTCTCCCTTTCTGCTAATATGCGTACCACTTTAGATTAAATGTCGTATTCTGCGGCAGTTTCGTTTTCAGCAGCTCTTCGCAGCACTTATACCAATCGAATGCCTTTTCCACATCGTCTCTACATTGCGCCATCTTGCCCTGGATGTACCGATATCGAACCATGACTTCGTTCACATTAGGCAGCTTGTTATCCTGGTATTGTAATTGAGGGCTTGATATAAAGATACTAGCCAATTCCCGCATCATGGCTCGTTCCAACATTTTAATCCAGGTCTCACACACTTCGGTAAGGTGTTGAATCGCAACTTTTTCGGCTTGTTTGACAGCGCTTGATTTTTTTCTAGGCGATAATTGATTTTCCAAAGTAGCCAATATCATATGAATCAGCTTGTCAACCATACGCTCACAAATTCGAAGTGTTAACTAACATAATCCATAAATCTCCATCAATATTTCTATAATTGTATATGCATATAATTTGAACATTGTATGTACCTTAACAACTGGTTCTTTCTGCGTGCGATTTACAATATCACTTTCGTTGAAAAGATACTGCTCCATGAAATCTTGACCAAGTAAAACAATAACATCCACCAAAAGGTCTGCGATTTTGGGATCAATGTCATACTGGATATCTTGTTCCAATAGACTTAGAGCAGCTTGGAGCAAACTGTCCAGAACACCTGAGTTCCCAGTGTTTAACGTGTTTATCAGTCCCACGACTGCCGCTTCTTCTGAGGACCGCTGGATACTCCTGTTAGCACTTTCTGTGGTTGCGAATATGGCATACTGAGGACCGCGCTTGCTTTCAGATGATGTCGCTAATGGAAGTGTGAGGTCCATGCCATTTCTGTGATATTTGATGTACTGGTTAGCGTGCATGTACATTTTATATTGGATATCCACTTTTAAAGCGTGTTCATACCCAGTGCGAGCATTATCGTAGTCCCAGGCATAACGTTTGCTTAGTTCGGATATTTTCATGTCAAACCATTTCCAGTACAGGGACATTGCCGACTCATCCAGCTCTAAATCAACGGGGACAAACCAAGGTTGATGGCGCTTGATTTCAGATATATTGGCCAGCTTATCGAATACTTCTTGTAGTGATTCTGAATGCTCGTCTTCTTCGCTAAGCATTTTGCGGCGTGATGTCTCCTCGTTCTCGATTTTTTCTTTTTGCCTTTTGGAGGCTCTGTAGATATAGTAATGAAAATGCTTTTAGTTTCCATGTAATAAAAACTATATCCAGGTTAATCTTGTAAGCACCTCAGCGTGGTCCTTTTATCTTCGGATTCTGATTCCGCCTCTTCATCCTCATCGCTCAGATTCGACCGTTTTCGCTTAAGAGAAGGAGTGGCTGATTCGCCTTGGTCTTTGAGCTGTGTATTATCGTCGTCTTTCATGCTTGTATTTTGTGGAACACCCGTACTAGTAGCGGATGACGGATTATCATCGCCATTGTCGTTTCCATTATCATCATCATCCTGACTCAGATAAATCACAGTTTTTGACACTGCGTCTTTCCTGTGTCCAAATTCTTGCATCTCCTTTTCTGCTGTCGGTGTTGCTGATGATGATTGTTGTGCATCCTCTGGTGTTCTATCGGCGTCGGTCATTGATACGTCCCCTTCTATGTCTTCATCTGCGGATTTTGGTGCAGTGTTCTGTTTGCTGGTAGTTACGGTTGTTTTGTTGTGGGCTGGTAGTTCTTCCATTTGAGTATCGGCGTCCACATATACTACATCCCGTCGACTTTCATCCAGCTGGCCAATTTCTCGAGCAGTGACATCGATATAGATATTGCGATTGATGATCGGTACATCGTTGAATAATGGATTTTGGCTGATGATATAAGCACGGAGTTAGTCTAATTACTTTGTATGTCGTGCGTACAAGAAATGCCAGGTACACATACTCATCATTGGTCTTGATAAGTTCATCATATCTCTGCAATAACGTTTTTAGCAACGATACCCAACGGACTTTTGTGAGCTTGATGTGAATGGGTTCTGCAGGCTCCTCGTTATTTTCAATTGAAGAGATATCCATTTTTTCCTCCAACTTTGGTAGCAACGGCCAGCCAGGATAATACGGCGAAGCCAAATTCATGTAACATCGGCAGAGTTGATAATCACCAACGTCAACAAGAACCTAAAACCGAGCACAACAGAAATGAATTGGTTAGGTGCTCTATTTTTGAATTAAAAGGTTACCTTATTTTTCTTACTTCGCACAATCCTTCAAGACATCGCCATTGTATAGGAGACATGCGACCAGACGAGAGGATTTGTTTTAGTTCTTCCCAAAAATCTAAGATCGATCCCGTGTTTTCGTTGAAATCGTCTTCGTCAAATTGATCTGGGTACTTTTCACGTATCGCGATAATATAAAGGCCGTGCTCAAAAGCGAGACGCGCGAGTCGTGTGTTTCCCGTTGCATATGCGAGCTGTCCAACGCGGTACCATAATGTTTGCTCGGACTCGTCGATATCTAGTGCCTGATGGTATGCATTTAGAAACAAATCCAGAGAATAACAACCTCTTTCAATATAAGAATCGCCCTTTGTCTCTTTACCATCAGATAATACTTTATCGCCTCTTTGCCCTTGTCGATATCTTTAGCATCGGCCGCGTCAAACTCGTGCTTTAATAATACTGCATAGTTCTTATATACGAGAAAGCGAAGCATTACTAACGACGAATTGGTCATGGTTAAGTTCTCATTCGGATCCTAAAGAAATGCAGGTTAGTGTTTTCTTTTAACGTGTTGATCGATTATGGCGAGCGATTTATAGACACGAGCGTATACAGTTGCGTACAGTAGTTTCAGGACCGCTTTCAACGAGATCATCGTTAATGATTCGTTCATAAATCTCTTTTGCTTCGTCTAATCGGCCATTCTGATGGTACTGTAGTGCTTGCTGATACAGTTTTAAGAACTGTTCGATCTAGTTGTATGCATGCGTACGTAAGAAAAGGCAAAATAAGTCATTAGCATATATGCACGTAATCACAGAACTTGCACTTTTCGAAGTAAGTACCTGAATTTCTGACGGATCGGTTTCCGGTACGACAACACCTTTATTAAGGGTGGCCCAATGGTTCTACGCGAGCAAGTATTAGTATCATAACGGTGAGTGCGGTGAATCAGTAGTGATGAGGCGGTACCATGCTGGGCAATTAATTGTAGGGTACAGAAACAATCTCGTATCGAAGGTAAAACAGTACGGCGGAAAGGCTGAGCGCTATAGATATCCAATTTTTTTCAAACCTTAAGTCTGGTCTGCATAATTTTTTGGCGGGGAAGGGGAGGTGACATCTATACCGTACTTAAAATAATTAATATTTTTTTTGTTTGCGTGACGATGGTTTTGAAAAAAGACATGGTATATCATAACGGTAGCGCTACTATAAGCTATTATCTTGCTTAAATCAACGATGGCTGATAGGCAAAATAACCACTGACAAACTGACATTCGATGGTTTAGATTGTTTATCACATGAGTAATTGATCTGATTGCTTCATAACGTTTATACAATAAAAGCGTATTCGCGGGATATAATCCAAGTCATTGTGATGCTCTTCTTATAATACCTTCGGCTGCTGCATCTTACTTTTTATGTGAGTTCGACATGTAAAGGTCTTTAAGATATATCACCTTACATACGAATCTTGCTTGTTATTATTGCTCCAGGGCTAATATCACGGCGAGGTTTGGAGAATCTCTTCCACTACTACTGTACTTGAAGCTACTGCTGTTATCTCTACATTGAAGTACTTATGATTTCGTCTGTGCTTTATTCCGTTTTTTATTTGTTCGAAGAGTAGTCTAAGATATTGCTTAGGCATGTATTATAAGGCATGACGTCATAGTGAGAGATCTCTTGAACCAGCAGCGATATTACTACTTCATTGCATCAGTAGCGACGGGCGCAAACCACACACATTAATTTCTGATGTAGATACGCGCAGCTTTGTAAGTAGCTAAGCTAAACTTGTCAGAAAGAATCTCCACATAGTTATAATGATATTGAAAAAGAGATACAAGAAGCATATTAACCCATCATAATATATCCAATTTGAGTACCAAGAAGAGGATTCCCAATTTATGCAGCATCTAACATTGGTCAAGTATAATGTTGCCGACATAGAGCCTCGATAACATACATGTGCCTATGATGTAATCGTTGCAAGTTACAGACTGAGAGAAGCATATTAGTAAAAATAAAAGGCTGTATGCGTAAACTACTGTAGAATACGTCGACGATGAGCTGCTTGTAGATACCACTGGATGTGCAAGGCACTCATATCTCTTGTTTCCCCGCTCATTATGAGGTCGTTTACAGTCATCGACTATAGTCCGGTTGTTTCAAGCTGGGCAAGGAAATGAAGTAAATCGTTGACAACTCACTGTAGCCATGGCATTAAGGGCTCACACCTTCAGATATGCCATACAGCTCGTTTCCGGAAGGGGTATATCCCATGGAAGAGCTGAGTCAAGTCGGTTTGTCGGCTATATAAGATTTTTTCCCTGGCGCCGAGATTATGCCAATCTTTGTAACAACAAAAAATGCTCAAGCAAACTCGATGCTAACACAAGGAACAGGCAAGTTTCTTTTCTGCTTAGATTTCTCATATTGATATTTGCCATTGATTTTATCCCATGTATAATCGTAGTGGTTCCCGACTCTTTGGAATTGGAACTATTTCAAAAGGATTCGGAAAACGAGGTTTTGCAAAGATCGGGAGTGAGAAGTAGTATATATATATATATTATTTCCTCCTAGGATAATAAAAGTATCATAGTAGTAGTAAACAGCTGTTATATCAGAATATTGCAACAAGATGTGGAAAGGTCAATGATACACGATATTCACGAAACAGAATCCATTAATTATGAGCTTGGTAATACAGTAGACCACTTCTCCACTGTAAATACTAACTAGCAGGTACACTTCGATAGGATGGTATTGAGCAATTTAATATACACCTCCGAGGCATATCTGAACAAAGTGTTGCGGAAGTGTAGAGTAGTCAATTCTCAAAAGTGCAAAAAGCGGGGATCCAGTCTGAAGCTGCTCGTCGACTTGCTGAGTGAGAGTTAAAAACATGAAGGTAGATCATAGAAACAAAAGTTGTAAAAATGCTCAGCAGCTATTCTGTTTTCAGGTATGTTGGTCGTTTCTTTAAACCTGTCCATTCATATGAGCACTTGATGGTTGTTATAAGGCACCATATGTGTATGCTGAAATACTTTTGCGTAGCAGCAGTGATGGGTTGAAATTACAGTTTGTCAGAACAAAGCCAGCGCCTTTCTAAACCATCCCAAGATTAATTGGTCAAAAAAAATACGGAGTTACTTTCGACCGGAGAGAGCTTGAAAACCTGAAGCATCCACTTTACGATGAACCTCCTTTCTCACTGGTCCATTAGTAGTACGTATATGTCCACACACCCACGATAGTAAACCTAGCATACAACCAATCCATCCATCGCAACATGCATGGATATGGATTGATGGAATAGAAGGTTGATGGATGATAATATTTACTGATCGGATTATGCTTATTTTTTATTTTCTCTATATAACTCCATCGCAACCTTTCACTTCGATTCAACAAATGCGACAATTTTTTAATTTTCCAATTTACCCGGCATCTCTTACCTCACCCTGAACTCATCAACAGACAATGGTTTTGAAGCACAACAACCAGTTGCCCAACCAGCACTTCCGTAAGGACTGGCAGCGTCGCGTTAAGACCTGGTTCGATCAACCCGGCCGCAAGAAATCTAGAAGAGTCGCACGCGTCCAGAAGGCTGCTCGCATTGCCCCCAGACCCGTTGATGGTCTCTTGCGTCCCGCCGTCCGTTGCCCTACCCAGCGCTACAACATGAAGTTGCGTGCTGGCCGTGGTTTCACCTTGGAAGAAATCAAGGTATGCTTTCAACCAAGCGCAAGAGAGTATACAGTGGATATTTGATAAAAAAAAAGAGGCTGTGTGATGACAGAGAATGTTCCTGATCTGATCTGTGTATTCTGTGGAACTTTTTAGGAAGCCGGTATCAACAAGAAGGTTGCCCGCACCATTGGTATTGCTGTCGACCACCGTCGCCGCAACCACTCGCAGGAGTCGTTGGAATTGAACGTCCAGCGCTTGAAGGCCTACAAGGCTAAGCTCATTGTCTTCCCTCGCAAGGCTGGCAAGCCCAAGCAGGGTGACTCTGAGGCTGCTGAGGTTGCTTCCGCTGTTCAGCTCCGTGGAGGTATCCTCCCCATCCAGCAGATCGCTGCTGCTCCCGAGGCCCGTGCTATCACTGCTGATGAGAAGTCTGTCAACGCTTTCAAGAAGCTTCGTTATGCTCGCTCTGAGGCTCGTACCCTCGGTGCCCGTGAGAAGCGTGCCCGTGACAAGGCTGAGGAAGAGGCTAACAAGGTATGTGAATTTGAACTCTTATGTGTGTTTGTATGTGTGGAAGTGATGATATCAAATATACTAATCTGGATACGCTTTTGTTGCGGTTTATAGAAGAAATAAATTGTCGGTCATCATATCAAAACCATTGTACATCAATAAAACTGATGCGGTTGCCATTGTTGAATTTATTCCTCCTGTGCTATGTTTTTGGAGCTTTTTGGTTGCTGAAGAGGTTGGGGGTTATGCTATAATGAAGTGTTTTGTAATTGGAAGTTGATGGCATGTGCTTGTAAAGTGTTTTAACCACGCGTGGTACACGAGATGTCAGGGCAAGTATGCGCCATTGTCATTTTGATATAAGACCGAAGGAAGATATAAAATAACTTACGCGAGATCAAGTAAAAACGCGTGACAATCATTTTTCTTTCCAAGGTATTATGGCGTCATATCCGAAAACGCATAACTTAGAAATAAAACCAGTAGCAATCATATCAAGAAACTTCTTTTTATCTCCTGCGTCTTTCGTTACTACGGCTACGGCTACGGCTACGGCTATAACTTCTGCTCCGGTGTCGTCGGCGATGACCATGGCGTGAGCGTCTTTCCGACGAGCTTCTGCTTTCACTTCTGCTTCTACTACGGTATCTTGAGCTTCTTCCTCTGCTTGAACTTCGGCTGCGGCTACGGTAGCGACGGTCCCGGGCACGACTACGACCACGATCACCGTCACCGTCACGAACGCGACTCCGGCTTCGACTTCTGCTGCTGCGACTGCTGCTGCGACTGCGACTGCGACTAGAGCTGCGATCTCTTGTTTCCACTTCCGTTTCTTCCATGTCACTCTCCAGGTCACCTTCTAACCCGCTTACACGAGGCTCGAGCTCGTCGTTTTCTTCTAATGCATATCGACTAACCAATCGAGGTAAAATGACATCGCACACACGGTCTTCATGTAGTAGCTGATCAATAAATTCGTCCATGTACGTTAAGCTGAAACCATCTACATTCACAAAAAAAGGATGATGTCTAAATTTTCTATCCAGTTTCACCAAAATATATACACCAGAAAGATATGCCATACCTCCTTCCCGTATACGTAGCTTTCGTGGATCGTTTAATAGCGGCTCCAACGATAGATATATTTCTTTTGATCGACCGACCAAACGCAAGTAAAACGCACCTAGTGCCCTTAGGTATCTAAAAATTTCATTCATGTTAATCATAAAAGAAGTACTTCACAAAAATGTATTGCACAATGGAAAACTTGCTTAAAATCTTCTTGCTTTATAAGCTCGTTGACAATGTCTTTCTCAGGCTGAAGCTGTAGCATTTTGAGTGTTAAGCAAAGAAATTCTGTTGGGTGTTGGCCGGCATATTGTCCACCAATATAAGTCAAATCGACAGCCTTGTCCATGAGTGTTGCGGCTATTTGAAATCATCGACAGTTAGGCGAGTAAGTATACGAATTGCTACAACAAGGACAGTGAGTTTAATATATACAGAGAATTAGAAATAACATGCCTGTCAGTCCGAAACAATGCTCTTTCCAGTACATTGAATCATAGATGCGCTCGCGAATAATCTTTTCAACAAGCCGCTGCGGATCCACACCGTGGACAGCTCTCGCATCAGACACAGTACGATTTGCTAAGATCAAAGGGTCATGTTTAGTAAACTTTTGCTCGCGATCGTTGGCAAATCTATTACATACCCATAATGTGAAGTGGTGGTAAAAGAAGGTGTACAGACGCGAGAGGGCGCGAGCTTACCACAGAAATTCAAGTCAGCTCGAGTTGCATCAAAGGGAAGATGTGGGTTATTAACCGCTTGTTACTCTTAGATAATGAACGCCTAGTTTTACTATTACAGTTGTTAGAGCTGCATTCTTGTAAAGTGACATAGCAGCACAGTATAGTATACGGGTACCCTAAACATGCATACAAAAGGGAGAAAAAACCACATTGCGAGCTTCTGGGCTACTTTACAAGACAGAGCATATTATTCATGGTGCCTTTATTGTGTTACTCAAACTGAGCTTCATAGCTTTTACTGATCATGATTATAAAAGCCTATCGTAAAAGATATTTGTTCAATGATATATAATCGAGAGGCGACGCATTTGCAAGCGTTGGTTTTACTTGAACTGTCTTCTCTGTTTCCCAGACTGGGAACTCGTTTCCTTCTTTCCAGTTATTTTCGAAAAATTGTATCACTGTTGTAAACTCTACGTCGCACATCTTTAGCATATCTATAACCTCCGTTCAGTCGATTCGGTTTGGATTGACTAGGTGAAAAATGCCATAGTGTCGAGTAAACCCGTCCAGGGCATTGCCTGCTGTTTGCAGCATAATCTTTATGATACTGGCAGCGGCCACGTCGGCAGGTAGCACAGTCAACGTTCGAGACCATGTCAGGCAATATACCCATGGCTGCACCACCGATGATCACTAACGGAAACTGCTCGTTGGTGTTCCACAGCATAAAGATGGGATGATAGTGGTCATGTATATTATATTTAATTCAATAGCACTAGTTGGGGTTAGAAAGCACACTTTGGTATATATGTATTGTACGTATAGGAATTGTGTATATAATTGGGGAGGATACACCATGATATTTTTAACATTCAAAAAAGGCCGTACTGGAGTGAGCCATAATAAAATAGGAAAAGAACTCAATTTTACTGCGCAAGGGTTGGATTTACTCGTTGCTTGAATGGCTATCCTGCGACGACCGTCTTCTTCGGTTTTTTGCCTTTCGACCCCTGCCCTGATCCTCTTGAGGCATATCCGTAATAAAGACTTGGTCATAGCTCCCCGAGTCGTCAATTAATAAGCCGCGATTATTACGTTCCCATCCAAATCCAGTACCATCGTCAAGCATCGACATTTCTTCACCACCAAATCGACTGAGTAATACAGGCAAGAGGACAAGGCCATGAAGCGCGCCAAGAACAACAATACTCAGGTCTATCAAAATCATATGAGTCTCAGAATTACTGTAGAAACTGTTAATGGAACTGCTACTTACACATGCGGAAATAATAAATTTCAAAAATCTTGGAACGTGTAAAAGCGAGGACAATAATTCCTGCAAATTTCGTCAAAGTGATACCACAGAATACCTGTTCACATCACACATTAGTACACTGCCATCAGACACCCATAACCGGATATATATCTTGGACAATACGTACCGAGCTTCCTACATCTACCATGGCTTTACCCGCTCGCTCTTCACGGCTGCCACTGGCAACTGTGAAGCCTCTGGCAATATGGCAACAGAACTCGACACTGATACCGACACAGATAACGAGATTCACCAGACTGACTGCGTTTAAGCTGACGTTCCATATGGCCATTACACCCATCACATCAATCACAATCATGATAACCACAGCCATCACAATGAGACCGGATCGGATACTGCCAAGGAGCGTACTAGTGATAATAAATATAGCCAAAATAGCCAAGCCGAGTAGTTCGAGCGCCATCATCGTAATATATGAGTATTGTTCAAAAAAGACATAGAAAAGCGAATAAGGATAGACGTCGATGCCCAGGCTTTCACTGAGGCCGTCTGAAATACGCCTTGCAGATGCTTGGGCTGCGATGAAATCTTCTTGCGTTCGCAGTGGTGTGTGGAACGTTCGGAAATGCGACGTTTCGGTAGTCTTGTGTTTCCGGTCTACAACGATGGCGTCGCCATAAGCCGCCTTTCCTCCCAAAGGACACTCCTCATCTGGTGGCATGTTTATCCACATGTCAAAAAAGTCCAGAAACTCTCCACCTTCAGGCAGCGCTTCCATATTCGTGTCCCAATCCGGCAAGCACTCAACACACTTTTTATCATAGTCAGGATTGCAGAGTTCTAATCCACGTCGGTATTCCCGCTCCAGCGTACTAAAGTGGAAGCTTTGTTGCTCCTTCCGATGGCAGCAACCAACAGACGGATCCAACCACTGCAGAAAGTCGTCGACCCAGACACTCGTTGGCTCTCCGATGTATGAAACTTCGGATCGTTTGCGCTCTTGCTCAAGGATTGTGCCCATGGATACAGGATCACAGGCGGCGAATCGTCCGCATATTTTTTTTTGTGTGTCTCGGTCCGTCATATTGGCGTTGCGTACCACAAAGTATACTGGAGGTCCAATATCTAGATAAACGTCCAGGTCGTTGAAGTAGGGGACGAGATACGAGTCGGATGGCAGAGCTATACGCTGGTCCAGGCCCAAAGGGAGCTCGGGCACCAATGCCAAGCCCAGCATAAAGAGACCGAGGAAAAGCAGGCAAATCACGTATCGCATTTGACGCTTCAACAGGAACGGCACATAGTACACTCGGCAAAGCATCTGAAGCCATCCTTCCTTTTCTAGTGGCTCTGGAGCACGGATTCGAACACATGGTACGCAATCCAATTGATTCGACTACAGGGTTGCTTATTAGTGACGTTTGCATGGGAAAAACAGCATTATGCAAAAAGAAAAGAACTATTACATCTGCTCGCCGAGCATCCAGCGCCATGCATGAGACGAAGCACGTAACTTGGAGAGTAAAGTCAACGAAAATTGCAATAGATGCGACGATTGCGAAGCTGCTGACGGCTGGCATCGTCACTAGTGTACCAAGACCAAAGGCGATAGTCTCACTAAGCGAGCTAAGCAAGATGCTGGGGCCCATCTTGCCCAGGGTTCTGGCAACGCGCTCCTCGACCGATTCGTCCTCGCCCAAATCTTCTCGACGTGCATACTCGTGACACAGAATAAATATATTGTCTACGCCGACAGCAAGAACCAGAAACGGTATGACTTCGGCGATGATTAAGGTCGTCTTTTTGCCCGTCAAAGAAAAGAGCCCAACAGCAGTCGAAACAGAAAAGATGACGATAAGTATACCACAGACACCCAGTCCAAATTTGGAATCAATCATCAACCGACGTATATTTAACGAGCGGAAACGGCCAAGTGCTATTGATGCATAGACGAACATGACGAGGTAGCTGATAATCACGGTAAGTGCATCAGTATTGGATGATTTGTTGAGTTCCGTTTCCAGCGAGCTCTATTATTCCGGATTAGTTTCCTTTATAGTATTGTAGGAAAATATAAGGTATGTTACCTCAGTAGAGTACGTAATGCGCACGCCGTTCCATTCAGGTCTGTCATTGACTTTGGATAAGATATTGCGAAGCAGCGATTTTTCCCACTCTTCGGTTTTTGATACGACAGCAGGGTCCAGGGAGTTGGCGATGACAAACGTAACGACAAACGCTCGCGCACTAAGATAGTCGTCATTCTCGTAACCTCCAAGGATAGCAGTTGGTTTCAATGGCTGTTGGAAATCCGGTAGACAGGCGGATGGCTGCTCGGCGCAGTAGAGAAGATCATCATCCCAGCGTTCAGGATCAAATTCTCCAATATCACCTTGCCAGTAACCTGTGACAGACTGGACAATACATGCCTCACCGTTGGGATGGAGACACACATCCTGAAGGCTATAGCCGTGCTCATCAGATCGCATATGTCGGATCTCGTTCTCGAGTTTAAATAAGTTCTTCAAGTGATCAGCCGATGCAATGGGTTCTGGCTCCTCGTTAACGATGAAGAGTTGTGTTATACGATAGAATGGAGAAAAGTTGGTATCAAAGTGATGCTTTTCAGCAAGGGCGCGCGAGGATGGTGATACCCATAAGTGAACAGGATCTCTTTCAACAGAGAATTTCGTCCAGCCGGCGGAAGAAAGAGTCACCAGGACCAGGCCAAGGACAATAACCAGCCATGGATGACGTGCACAAAAGAGACCTTGGCGATAAAACCATCCTTGAAGCCGTGAATTGAGCCAGTACTGTCGAGGTACATGGTCCGGATCCAGTAGGTTCTCCAGCTCACTTCCATCATCATCGTCTTCATCTTCAGCAAGCGCCAAAGGCTCGTACAATCCGCGGTTTTCTTCGCGATCCCAGTTGTATCCGATGCAATTTTGCAGCCATACGCCAATGCGGTGTTGGCGTGTCAGCACAAACAGCAGCACAACAGCGACAATCAAGCCATATGTGGTAACCATGGTGAACGTCCAGCAGTTGAGCAGGCCCACCCTGCATTCTGGTATCTCTCCTGGAGCAGGCTCCAACATAGGACAAGTCGCTTCGCAGTCCACACATGCACATCGGTAAGCGGAGTCGGAATCGTTGCAAGATTTGCCGTTGTCATCGTATCGCGTCAATGCATCGCCCGAGTCAAGAGGTGGGAAATCGATCTGGAATGGACTTCCCAGGCCGGGACGCTTTTCGCCCATATACGACACCATGCTGTGCCAATCCTTTGCACCACCGCCGATAAAATCCATGGCATATCCGTTACTGGATCCAAACTTGATATCTTTGCAACTGTCATAAAACTGTGTTCCAAAATTATCGCCCACCCAGTAATCGGCCTGTTCCACCTTTGGTTGTTCGTCCTCTTTGCCTGTGGCCGTTATGTTGACAAACGTTGACTGGTTGGGTGAGCAGGTGAACGAGCACCAGAACTGCAAAAAATTGCTCCAGCATGCAGGACAAGACGCCACAATTGGCTTTGCCATTTGTACTTGATTCACCAACTTGTTAAGTTGAGTTTCGTCGCAACAAGCTGGACCTGTCGCATACTCTGCACCGCAAGTGTCAGCAAGGAGTTTTCGAAAAGAATCCGTTTCGGGTTGCACCGCTGGTTTGTTGTATACGCAAGTAGCTGGGAAGAAACCGCCACATTGACCGCGCATGACACAGTAGCCATTTTTGTGAATCGGTGTAGGCTCGCTTTCAATAGCAGTAGCAGCAATCGCTGCCCAAAGAATCCCGAGAAGAATGGGAAGCGCAAAATGGGGTGTCATTGCAGCGCTGTACTAATTGAAACGTTGTTTGTGGAAAAGAGAGAGAGGAAAAGAAAAGGCGACGTTTATGCTGCTCACGAGCGCTTACCATTTTTAGCCATAAAGAAATGTGCCGAGGCTGACGTATCGATTCCTTTGCGCGTCGTATACGTTTGCCGGTGTTATATACGGCCGGTATTTTTCCTTTGTCAGGATTCCTCAAAGGCATAAATTCACACACTCATCACCAGATTCATATATGATAGTGATGGCCGAGGGCGGTGGCAATAGTTGCTGGCGCAGTAACGATTGTTATGTGTCAGTATCTCTTGCCATGTACAATACTGGTACTATGTACTGTATGAGAATTAGCATGATATATTATTTCTTTGTCTGGCTTCATTAAGATATTATAATTATTTGCCATCACTTTGACCAAACAACAAATTTGTTGTATGACAATGCATATAAAACACAGGCTGTTTTGACAAAGCTTAAAATTTTTATATCATAAACTCATTTTATTTATTTTTTCTCTTATATATACTACATATTACCATATTATCTCTCCACAGCCTTTTTTCCCTACTCTCTCTTTGTTGTATTTGAGCCTTTTTAGTATATCGAGTATATGAACGTTTTTCAGTCATTTCTCTCATATGTGAGTCCTCATCTCTCTCCTCCCTCATATAATTCAAACGCTCTACAATAACGTGTGTAGTACTCGGTTTCGATGATGTATAGTTTTAATTGTAAAGCTGTGAAAAAAAGAAAAAGAAAAAAACTTCCTTCCAATAATATTTATAGTTTTGCGACAAGATTTTACATTTGATTTTTAAGCAGAGCGACATCAATTTGAAACATGTGACATTAATTTTGCTGCCAAGCGACATTGATTTTTATCAGCCTGCGACATTAATTTTTACTAGGTGCGACATTACTTTTTGGAAACCCTGTAACGTATCGGCTACGAACTTGAACTTCCGAGTGTACACCATGATTAAGCTATTTTACTTTATGGCGAACTGCCTGCGCGACTGTACAGCGAAAATATATAAAGTTCCGGATACCTGGGTTGTCTTTGACCCGTCCATATGATATGTGTACTACAGAAAATATTAGGCTGAGGGAGCACAGGAATAAATAACATTAAACTTATTAAATATCAAATATATAAATCGTCATGACGATCGGTGGCGAGAGCGGAGGGTATCGAACGAGTTCAAGCATATAATGGCCAGAACACTGTTTTTTGTTTTTCTCGACCGAGGCTAACTATATTAGAAAAGAAAAGAAGCGTCGTCAAACTGCGTTCATGATTTCGTATAAGGAGGTTAATGCACATGCGGCAAACTTTGTTAACGAACCTTGCGATGATGTGGTTTCTGCTCGGTTTGTGAGTGTACAGCAGTGTGTGTGTAAGCACTTCCTTTTGCATGAATTCTAGTAGAGCTTTCAGCATGTCACAACCCTCTTCAAAAGCAATAAGTGCGAACATCTCTTTATTTGAAGTAAGATTTATCTATAACTCCTTGATTTTCTATATCACCCTATGCTGTTTGCCATGAGTTAAAAGACAACGGTGTACAAGAATTATCTTTACAGTCATGATGTAAGCTCGGAATACACAATATAAATAACCAACTGCAGATATTCGTATTTTTATATTCCTTCTCTGTGCACGAACCTTGGTTTCCGAGTACAAAACGAAAGAGGGTACCTTGCAGCAACATGATGTCACTTCACAAAGTAGACAAAGTATGCAATAATATCGATACATTGAGGAGGAAAATTTCACGAAAGCTGCCGCCATCTGTATTCTTAAACTCAAAATCTTGTTTTATGACAAGGAGAAAACCAGCAACGACTTGCAAAGCGCAAATAAATGCAAGATTGTAAGAAATGGTTGCTGGGAACAAGACTCGAAGAGTACACAGTATAATATAAAGTCATCGTTACATTATTGCGTAGTGTGGCTAGACCATATTTGTTTTTGGTTTTAAGTATTGCTGAACCGTATATATCATACCCGCCACAATTTTTTCCTCCTTCCTCCTCTTCTTCATCCTTTCATTTCGAATCCATACTTCTTTTATTAAATGAATCTTCGCTTATAAAAAAAAAAAGAAAGCCAAAGGACACAGAAAGGATTTACAAGAAAGTGCAGTGTGATGAATTTGATTTGTTCCTGGAAGAAAACCCACAGCTACATTCACCTGCCTCACTTCGCTAGCTTCCAAACCTAAATAAGTTCGTCTTCAGAGCTCAATCGAATCATGCGTGATCGCAGACGTGTCGCAAATACATCTTACCACGTTTATGATGGTGACGTGTGGCGAGAGTTTGCTGATTGCGCTGTCGTCGTTTTTGATCCACGACGTGCTTGTATAAACCACTGCGGTGGGTCATATGTTTAGGATATTGGCATTGCAGGAATTTAGGCAGCTGGTGGGTAATACTTTCATTGTTGACAGCAACACTTTTTTTTCCCAATGCAAGAGCTGTTCGTACAGTCATAGCTCGTTGCTATAATATAAAAACAACTGCATATGCAACTAGCATCAAGCTGCACAAGACATTGGTCCGATTCACTCTGCCGTACCTACAACGCGTCGTAGCTTTATTAATAAATTCTGTAGACTTGAAGCAAGATTGACAGCTCTGACGTTTTAAAGTCACAATGCCCTTAATCAAGAGATGCGGCATCCAAAGAGATATACGAGGATAGTACAGCACCTCGGACTCGAGTTTTTCGGTATGTACTGCAACTGCCTTCTAACACAACCGAGCTGTTGACCTGTTGCTTACTAGACAGACACTCAGCTAACAGAGACAAGTAGGCCGATCCGTTTACTACTACGAGTGGCACATAGTGCACTCATTACACACACACACACACACAGCTTTCTCCTCGTTACAACACAATATCATATGCTTTAAACTTAAGAAAAATGTAGCTGATATGAAATAACAGATTCTGAATACTAAGTATGTTGATCTTGCTGATTGATGTTGTATGTAAAGAAAATAATAAAGCTAAGTACAATTCTACAGTAGTGTTAGTTTTTTTTGTTTTTTTGGTTGATTGATAGATTTTCTGCCGTTTCTGGATGTGTGGGTGTGTGTATGTGCAGATGTGGACGTGTGGAGAACTGATTAATAAAGTTTTACTGTAAAAATATATGCAAAGAAGATGGGATATAACAAAGAAGAGAAGAGAAAGGGTAAGGTTTCCTACTTTAGTACTGCTATGATAGTACTACTGCGTCATGAAAAAGATGGGGATGATTGCGTGGATGCTGGTAATTGTGAGGTACACCTGGTGGTGTAGATGCTTCTGGGATGGTAACGTAAGTGCGTTTGGGTTTCGGAGGTGGCGTGAGTGCCTTTGATGTTATTATAAAAGCAACAAAACAACACAGTTTGTGTATGAGAGAGAGAAGACTTGCCGTTGGAAGATGTGATATATCTTGAAAAAAAAAAGTCAAATACATACCAAGAAGCAGACTTCGAGATCCTCCTTGTTCACCAGGCCCCATTTGTTATTGTCTTCTTCGAGCGCAAGTTGATAGGCTAGGGCTGCATTTACAGCCCATGCTGAGGGATCGTTTATACTGTCTCGTTGCTGTTGTTGGTTTTGCAAACAAATACCACGAATCAACCGTTCGGCCTCTTGCATTCTGTTTTCCCAAGCGGACGATGTCTTGAAATGTGTAAAGTCAATATCCCGGCCACGGAAGAGTGGACGACGTCGCTGTTGCTGTTTTTCGTTGAAACTTGTTACCGCTACCGGCGGTTGTGCTGATGTTGTGTTCCAAAAGAGCTCATAGGCCATGGTGGAGATATTGTTCACGATCAATGAGGTAAGAGACCAACATCCTTTGGTTGGTCGCTCGTCACGCGCGTCTTCTTGTTCTTGTTTTTTTTGTGCTACCTGGTCCCGCTGGTACGGATCATAGCAGGGACCGAAAATTTGTCGCTTCATGGTGCCAAAGATGCCGAGCAGCCCCATCAGACCACTAGGTTGACTAGGTCGTGTTTCGACCGCTGTCGCCATCGTTGTCGTATCACTATCACTAGTCGCTTGCTGTTGGTTCTGAGCCTTGCCGCCGGTGGTCACGAAAACCTTGCCAAGGAGATATTTCCACATTTTTTGTGCTGGTATTTTTACAAGAAGTTATAGACAAAGAGATATTGGGTACAAGTGTGCGTAATGTGTTGCTCAAAGCACTGTTTGGGTATTGAGATCAAGAGGTAGTAGTAGAGTAAAACAAGGGTTGAAAGTGGAAGATGAAGGAAAGAGAGATGAGAAGATTGAGGGAAGACGCACAGCTTTGATTGATTTTTATAATGTGACAGAGGCACTGAAGTGCATGTCA